GTGTAACTTTACAAATGGCACCCCATATGAAGACATCTGGTGCTACACTCTAATCAGCTAATTAACTCAATACCTGCAAAGTCCTTTAAATGGTCTCAGTTTAGTTCTGCAGGCGACACAATCATGGCGACTGCTGACTTGATAGGTTTCCAAAAGACGACCATCGAGACCTTGCACAAGGAGGACAAGACACACGAGGTCATTGCCGAAGAGGCTGGCTGTTCACAGAGCTCTGTGTCCAAACACAGTAACAGAGAGGTGAAGGAAAGGAAAACGTGGTAGAAAAAAAGTGTACAATACAGATAACTACACCCTGGAGAGGATTGTGAAACAAAACCCATTCAAAAATGTGGGGGAGATTCACAAAGAGTGGACTGCAGCTGGAGTCAGTGCTTCAAGAACCACCACACACAGACGTATGAAGACCTGTTTCAGCTGTCACAGTCCTTGTGTCAAGCCACTCGAACAAGAGGAAGCATCAGAAAAGTCTCACCTGGGCTAAAGACAAAAAAGGACTGGATTGCTGCTGAGTGGTCCAAAGTYATGTTCTCTGAAAGTAATTTTTGCATTTCCTTAGGAAATCAAGGTCCCAGAGTCTGGAGGAAAAGAAGAGAGGCACTTCATCCACGTTGCTTGAAGTCCAGTGTAAAGTTTCCACAGTCAGTGATAGTTTGGGTCCATGTCATCTGCTGGTGTTGGTCCACTGAGTTTTCTGAGGTCCAAGGTCAATGCAGCCATCTACCAGGAAGTTTTAGAGCACTTCCTGCTTCCTGCTGCTGACCAACTTCATGGAGATGCAGATTTAATTTTCCATCAGGGCTTGGCACCTGCACACAGAGCCAAAGCTACCAGTACCTGGTTTTAAGGGCCATGGTAGCTGAAGGCCACTGTCAGAGCAACCTGAGCAGTGCCACAGACTGATCCATTTCATGCTGCGCTGCAGTAATCCAGGAAAGAGGAGCCTCAACTAAGTATTTAGTGATGTAATGCTCATACTTTTCATGTTCATACTTTTCAGTTGTCCAACATTTCTAAAAAAAAACCTTTTTAATGTTTATTTTTTTTATTTTTTGTATTGATATTAAGTAATATTCTAATTTTCTGAGATACTGAATTTGGGGTTTTCTTTAGTTGTCAGTTATAATGAAAATGATAAGAAATACACATTTGAAATATATCAGTCTGCGTGGATACAAGTTTCACTTTTTGAGTGGGATAAAATAAATCAACTTTTTCATGATACTCTTATTTAAAGACCAGCACCTGTGTTTGGCTGATAACCTACATTCTGTAGAAATTAGAATTTCATTCAGACTGAAACTGGAAAACAGAAGAATTCAAAGACTTTCAACACTTTTAATAAATAATTTTGTGCATTTGCACTTTATGYATATCATTTTGCATGACATTTACTCTTCATTAGGATAATCAGTATTTTTTTATGTTGCTAAACATTTGGATGTGTAAAAAGAAATATAGAAAAACWGCTGAAATGTGGCATATGGTGCAAAAAGTTTTACAAAGTGACGACTAACAAAGATTAAAAGCCCTGTCACACTAAGGGGCGGCTGTGGCTGAGAGAGTTGGCGGTTCGATTCCACTGCTATTCTGTCACATGTCTAAGTGTCYCTGGGCAAGACACTGAACCCCSTCTGTCTCTGTGTCCCATCAGTGTATGAATGTGATTCAAAGCACTGATTTGTCTCTATAACTTGATTTACCTGTATTTTCTGTGTAGAGAGATCTAGTACAGTAGAGCTGAATGAATGTGTGTGTGGATGTGTAAATGAGGGCACAAATTGTAGTGAAGAGCTTTGCATATCCTGGTTGGACAGAAAGACACCAGCCCATTTGCCAKTTAGACAACATACAGTGGACCAAAGTGTGTCCAACTCTAAAGATGTCAAGATGTTAAGCTGAAGATGGAATCAAATATTTCATAAATAGTCTAAAACGTTAGAGTGACAGGGCCTTTACCCATTTTCTTATTTCATGTTGAAAGTTTGCAGGTGTTCAACAGTGGTCGTCACAGACTGAGTGTAACAGAAAAACAGGGAAGGTTAAACCTTCTTTCTGTAAGCGGCTCACTTCTGCAACCTGTTTTATTCAGAGTACTTAAATCAGTCATACTTCTGAGTCCATGTACATCTTGTTTTTTTTTTGAGGCCCTGTTGAGTGTTGTACAGAAAATAAACACTTCCATAAGTCTCCAGAAGGTGGCGCTCCTCCACTGATCACCTTTGGTCACAGATTTCATGATTTTCTTTCTGTTTTGTCATGTCGTAATCTTTACARATTTGTAATAAACTTTCTTTCCCAAGTTCGTGAGTCTCTTGTGGTGTTAGACCCAGGTCGCTGGATATGTCCTGGGGCCCTTTGGTTTTCCAAAACGATTCCCAAATCCTGAAGAAGGTGTCATAAAATAAACCAAGTTAGTCATGGGAAACGGCAATAATGAAAACCAAAATTCTGGTCTTTACTACATTATAAAACTAATAAATTATTTGCAATACATAAGGCAGTGAAAATCCTGTGAGATGTGTTTTTCTCTAAGGTGACATCATCTAAGTAGACCAATAAGCAAACAGACAGAGATGGTGGATTAGTACATTAAGTCTATATATCTGGCCCCAGAACCTGTGAACAGGAGGACAGGACCAGAATGCATGTATGTAATTGTCAGGTATAATGCCTGTGCACTGTGAGCATAATGTAGTGTTATTTTCAATGTTTTTTTCACACATACATTCATAAAATGTATAATAAAAAAAATAAAAACAAGTAGTTAACTTATAAATATAAAAAGTAAAAGAACATACTTTTTCATCTTGTTAGTTCATATTTTACCTTTCTTAAAAATGTTATTTCACTCATATATACAAACACGTTGTATACAATTAATAAAAACAAGTTAGTATATAATTATAAAACATAAAAAATAACCTTTTTTTCATCTTGGTTGGTTCATATTTTAACTTCTCCAAAATTTACGAGGTTCCTCTTTTTTCAGAACCTCTGCTTTTTGCTGTCCAACTCCGCCCTTAATCTGACCACATCCAACCATGTTCCCTACAAGCCGTGACCACGCCCAATGGGCATCTGACTCCGCCTACTTTCTGACCCCACCCCATTCTGCAGTCTGCAGCTGTGGGGGTACTTGAACTAATCAGAACCAAAGACAGTGTTGTTTTAATTTTATTACCAAGTCGGCGTAGTTTGGAAATTCATCACAAACCGAATAATTTGTTCTTGAATGTAAGTTTAGCAACTTAGCTAATGAAATTCATGCTGCAGGATGATGTTAAATAAAATGCATCTACAAGTACTGAGACTGGAGCTAAACCCAAATTATTAATGTTTTTTTTTTAATGTTTTAAATGTGAAGTTATTTTTTTTTTGGTGAAAAGACGTGAGTACACATCCCAATGTATTTTAAGTCTAATATGAAACAGATCAGTATAGTAACAGGGTAGTGCGTGGTCACACAAATATACAGCAGGTAAAATAAGTATTGAACACGTCACCATTTTTCTCAGTAAATATATTACTAGAGGTGCTAATGACATGAAATTTTCACCAGATGTTGGT